ATCGTGTGCATCAAGTGGTTCAGAAAAGCGAAAACAAAAAAAAAAAGATAAGAAATGTCATGGTGGAGAAAAAAAGGGCGACCGAAAACATCATCGTCATGGACATAGATCACGCAGTAATTCACAACACAGACGTGGCTCTAGGTGTGAATGAGGGGGGAACAGAGCGAACAACTAGCATCCATCCGGCTAAAAATGCTTATATCATTTTGTTTTCTTCTGCTGTGCCTATTGTATTTATAAATTAACAAAACGCCTGCGGGAAAACGAAAAAATATGTCTTCTTTTCCTGGCTCTAGTGCTGGAGCATACTCTGGCTGTTGTAGGGGGACGACGTATGTCGGAACCGTTGTATAAGACAGAAAGTACGATCACCCGAAAAAGATTCAAGGTAAAAGAGATACTGATTGATTAGCATCATATGAAGCAGGGTGTTTCTAATTTACATATACATATTCTACAAATACAAATACAATACTTGTACCAAATCTATTTCCAATGGACGTCTAGAACGTGCGGCTTAGGTGAGAGAACTGCGCTACGCTACCATCGTGCGCTCGTTATCCGATTTTGGACGCTATTATAACTTTTTGTTGCCGAATGAATCTAGCTAAAATTTTTACATAATATTCATATTCTCTTTCGTCTGATTACGAGTCTATTTAAATTTATTCGCTTAGTAACTTCTTGTGCTTTTTTTATGAAACGATAATCAGAAAAATTTAATTTGAAATGTATTCAAAAATTATTATGTCATGGTAGTTAAAACGTTAATTCTGAGTACTCTTCGAGTTAACATATGTGTATCTGGTAGTAATAACTACCACGGCTTGAAATTATCACGCTATTAAGATACAAAAGCTGTTCATTTGAATTTCCATTAAATATTAGTTTACCTAGCATGGTTGCTCATTCTCTATTTATAATGTATTCATCATCTATATAACTATCATGTGTCCTTATTAGGATCTTTTTTAAAAATGAATAATGAATAGTTGAAAAATATTATTTATGAACAAATAACCCAAATCTACCTTCGAGCTAAATTGTAAATCCTTTGTTGTTGTTTTTCGTAGTCTTCATTAACCACTAGGATCTGCAATCACTAAAAACATTAGGTCATTTTGTAAAGAACTTTTAGTGGGAAGTTCTTTACAAAATGATCTAATTTTTTGGTAGAGTTAACTCTAGCTCCTATATGAATTGTCAGTAGCTCGAAGTTATCCTAATTAACCAATTCGAGATTACCAAAGATCAAAGAAACAGGCATTTTCTTCTAAACGTACTGGATTTGGTAAATAAATCCAAACATTATTCAGCACTTTCTTGAAAAAGTCAAAATCTATAAAAACATTTCATTCATTTGAGAGATTTTTCTAAGTGGACATGTTGTTAACTTTAGAGTGGTAAAATTATACATAACATGCATATATGTTTTTTTCTATGCATTTGTTCTGCTAGGCCTCTTGCATTCAGATAGAGATATACATTTATCTAAGGTATATCTCTATTGACATTTCCGTCTTCTGTCTCTACACAGACAAGAGCAGTATGAAAAATATTTTGTGTAATCAATCGCTCATAACTCACTCATATTTTCACCAAATTAAATAATTCTTTAAGCATCCGATTCACAAGACTTTTTGCTACTCACAAATAGGCATACAACGGTTATTTTATCGGGGCTCTTGGGATTATTAGTTTTAAAAATCGGAGAAACTTTTCAAAAACTTTTTGAGTTTTGTGCAGAAATGTTTACTCTACCAAATAAAACGTTGCAGGCTTTGTCAGGGTGGTTCGTAGATGAGATATGAGCTGTTTTTCTCTAAAACAGGACCGGTTATAACTGGCCGTTAGCCACCGGTGAATAACCGGTCGCTTTATCAGCAAAAAGCTTTGTGTCTCATCTACAAACCACCGTGACAAAGCCTACAACGTTTAATTTGGTAGAGTAAACATTTCTGCACAAAACTGTCGACTCGAAAAATTTTTGAAAAGCTGCTCTGATTTTTAAAACTACCACTCCCGAGAGTCCCGATAAAATAACCGTTGCTTGCCTACTCACAAATGTAAAAAGGTGTATTTTCCCGTTCGAACACCATTCGTGTAGACTTAAATCGAGTTAGTTGTAGAGTTTCACTGTAGAAGTCTTGTACTTTTTTAAATTTATAAGTAGAAAAAAGGCTTACGAATTTGGTGCTCAAGGAATTATTTAATTTAATCAAACAATGAGTGAGTTATGAGCGATTGATCACACAAAATAATTTTCGTACTGTTCTTTTCGTTCTCTTTTCAGTGGCAAGAAAAAATTACTTATTTTTTATCTACTCATGACTACAGCTTATGAACCAATATCTCTGAATGAAACGAAACACTTTCTTACCATTGAGAAAAAATATATTTCTTTTAGTTATGTGTCACAAATTCAGAGGACACACATAGAACAGTAGTTCGGCAAAAATGTACATCACCCTGTTCTAATAGAAAGAAAGAATGGAAGAGTTTGACGTTCGTTGTTCGCCTGTTTATCGCTCATACACAAGAAATAAAATTGTAAACGGTAACATACATCTTTTGTTAAATAATTCAGAATGACGACCTTTTTGTCTTTTACTTACTGATTTAATGTCGTGATGTTTCTGAAGCTTTCAAAGCAAAAGAGAAATAACTACTGTTAAAGTACTTTTTTAGAATCGTTGATATATTATCTGTCCATATGAATAGTTCTAATTATGTTGGTACGTATGAGGAAGAACTGCGTTCCCATCCATCTCCGGTTACAAATGCGAACAAGTGGTAAGGGAGTTTCTAATAATAAATTCTAATAACTGGTATTGATTTCGGGGAAGAAATGTTCTGTAATAGCACGCTTAAAGAACAAAACAAATTTTCTGTTTTTTCAATTCCATTTTACTATTGGACATGATGACGTCGGTGTTTTAAGTCGCAGGATTTATGATTTAGACACAGAAGTCAGCAAACATAACTTTGTATTTTTTAAATAAACTCACGTTTTCAAGAACGTTCATCGATTCGAGATGCTATCTGACGAGGGAACCTCTTGAGGTTATAAATCACTTTTGAACTCAGTCTGCTTTTATGTTGCAGATCTTAGCGAGTAGTGAAATACCCTAAGTTGGTTTGTGCCCATGATGCTTTGTTGCTGAGATACTCGATTTTTAGTCAGTTTGCGCCTACAGAGCTTAGATTTCTAGCACCATCCAACTTTCGAATTTTGATTTCAAACTTGTAGCCCATGATCATAGTAGTTCGACGGAAAAATATTCGATGCTAATGAATTTTCCTGTTTTGAGATACTGAGACTCGAACATATCATCAGAAAGTAAAAGTGAAGGTCAGCGAGTTCAAAAGCGATTTATAACCTCAAGAGGTTTCCTCGTAAGCTTTGATTTGGAAGATTACTTACTGTTGGTTGTGTTCTGCATGTAAGGCGCCGCTAATTTAAAGTTCAAGCATACTTTTCTTTTCAGCATATTTATACGTCATCCGATGCAGAATTCGAGGCTAATCACGAATATGACCCTTTTTGTTCGATTCGACAAAATGTTTGAGGAAAAACGCAAAATAGTCAGAAGATGTCAAAATCTGCAAAATCACTTTCTGATGAAAAACAACGCTAAATTCATTTCCATTCCATTATTTGCTCTGCGCCTTGTACTTTTTTAAATTCGTACGTGGAACTTACTCTAGAAACGTTATGTAGATAACCTTTCTAGAGTAAGTTTCACGTAATGAATCCCAAAAGCAGAATGGCGATAGCAAAAAATGAAGTGGAAATGAATTTGGGCTGTCATGACTTTTTTTGTTCGATCACTTTCGTTTTTCTTCGCTAAAACCTTGTCTAATCGAACAAAAAGGGTCATATTCGTGATTAGCATCAGATCAATATATCTGTATAAATAAGCCCAAAAGAAAAGTATGCTTAAACTTTGAATTAGCGGCGCCTTGTATTTTGAGTCACTTACTTTAAAGCGCTACGATAAAGTGTCACACTGACTCGTTCCAATTAATGCTAAAAAGAAGTGTTCGTATGATTTTAAGTGACGCAAGCCTTTTATACCATACATACTTAGACATCTGCGAAGTCTGATTTTGTCGAGCCTTCTTCGCCAGATGGTATTTTATCATGACGATGCCGGCATTCGGAACCCAAATACACGACGAACGCTGGAAATATCCAGTGACGTTTCTCGCGAAACACACTTGCTGATAGATAAGTTTTGATACTGATCTGATATTCATTTGTGCTGTTAGATCTTTTTTGGATGGTTCTCTGAAAATCAGATATCCCCAGTATAACCTTACAGCTGAACACCTTTTGACAGCATACTAGATTGTACAACACCTCTATCTCGGTGAGAAGATGTTTAGAACCAACGAACAATTTTATGGTAGAGATGTAAAATCTTAAGGTACAACAAAGTGAAATATTCGGACTTTCTACTGGATTAAATAGTTTTCTACACTTTTTCTTGTTTATTTGTTCAGCTGTTGATAATCTTAAAAATGATCTATCAAATACAATTGATAAGTTTGGTGATACTATGGATGAAAGACAAACAAAGGTTACTGATTCATTCAAAGGATTATTTGAACAAATAAAAAGATATTTATTTATTGCATTCATAATTGTTCTCCTAATTGTTCTACTACTTGCGTTGAATTTATGTACAAATTTATTTATTTGTGTTCATACTTACCGTCCATTATGGTTTAAACATCAAAAAAATAGTTTATACAATCAAAACAATGGTAATCATTTTGAACTTGCAACACCAACAGCAACAAAAAATTATTATCAACGAAATTCATCAGCAAATCATCCATAAGACTATTAATGTTGTTCTATTTTTTATGTATGTAAGAATAATAATAAAATACTGAATTAAATCTGGCGATGAAAGAGTATATTTAGCAAGATTCAAAGCCTAGTAAAATCACGATTCACAGTAAAAGCCATAATGTTCATAAGAAGTGCACTGCACTAATATTTCACCGTTGATCAATGTCTTGTATACATATATTCTAATGCTAATTTCGTTGAACTATAGACGAATATTCTTTTCTTTTAGTTTTTTTTTGTTTTTCTGTTTTTCTAGTCGTATAAAAAATAGGTTAGGTATGTATCGGTATCCGAAATACTAATACTGAAAACACCGACGTTTTTGAATTTTTTCGTTTGAAATGAGATAGTTTTCTATTCTTCTGAAAAGGGCAAATAACACAAGAATAACAGGATGTTCATGATAACTCATCTACTTCGGTTTGTTCTTCAAAATGCATATTTTGCACTCAATACAACATATTATAAGCGTCCTTATATTTATTTAAGTAGAATATAAATTAGAGTAAACAACCAACAGACAAGATGTACGTATCAATATCCGATTCAGGACCATAGAGTATATTAAATGATATTTATGTTGAGCGATAGGTGTTTATGTACTTTATGAATACGGCTTGGCCAAATGTTACGGACTTTTATTTTTTCGTCTTCTGTGCTCCTAATCTCGGCAAAGAAACAACGTTTATCCATGAAATTTAGACCAATGATGGATATTAGGGATTTCTACTACCAAAAATAATTTGAGCTTGAGTAAACAAGCGGATCAAAAGTTTTAGTCAAAATAGAGTCCGTTGCGAAATTTTAAAATGATTGCTTAATTACCAAATTAAAGCTCACAGTTTGGGCTATCAGAATCACTACTGACTTTTCTTGAATTAGTTCCCTGGCAGAGAAAATCGAATAAAAGTGACCGTTACAGAATTTCACCGTATTTTGCTCTTCATTGCAGATGGTTCGGTATATGTTTTTTCTGTCCTAGAACTACTTAGCAAGCTCTGGTTTGTACAAATGAGCCGTTTGGTAGAGGAATTAATTCTCTATCTGACGGTATAGTTTTCAGAATTTTTGGAAAAAATATCTAGGTCAGGAAATTAAATTTAAAAAGTTTAAATTTTCACCACGAAGATTTGGTTTTCATTTGTTTGAGTCCAGATTTGTAATCACCGTGAAAAACTGCGTCTAATGATGTGAACTTTGCTCAAGTTAAAACAAAAATTCGAACCTTCTCATCCGAAGGTGGACCGATAGCTGGTCACGCCGAATATGGTTGATTTGTTGGTCTCTTTTACTTTTGTTTCTTCTTCACTACCACAATTCAGAATAAAAGAAGATATAGAAATACGCAGAACCGACGAGGCTATTCAAGTAATATGGTTTCGAGTACCATCAGATAGTCAAATTCAGATCTCTGTCATCTGACGGGCCGTAACACATAATAACTGTTCGTTTATCTTTCTTTCTATACTCATTAGTGTCTATTTTCTAAAAGAAAAGAATGTTTGTAGTTGGAAGAAGAAGGGGAAGTAATTAGATTGATGTGCCATCATCATACTAATCGTGTGGGCGGGCCCCCGCCGGGGGGGGGGGGGGGGGGGGGGGGGGGGGGGGGGGGGGGGGGGGGGGGGGGGGGGGGGGGGGGGGG